ACACCTTTCAAATGTTTTTAAATTTCCGTTTACTAACTCTTTATAGAAAAAAAAAAATTTTTTAATTAATAACATTTCTAAAATATGTATAGTAAATATACAATATTTGTAGTAAATGAAATTAGCTGTTAATATTTAACGTATTTATACAAACGAATTTTTATTTAAGATTAAAAGACACCTATGACTTCTTTTTTATATTTCCTTTTTATAAACTCTTGAAAGAAGATTTTTAAAACTTAATAATGCTGTTAAAACATGCACCAAAGAAAAATAAATTATAGAGGCCTAATAAACAGGGCGACCCTTGCTTAAGTTTCACCTCTTTCTTGCTTTTGCAAAACCTTCAAAAAGTTGTTATTTATAAAATACTTGATACAAACTGAGCTTCAAAAGGTTAAAAACATAGTTCTTGTGCAATCAGAAAAAAATCTTTCAAACATTTATGCACTCAAAAACCAGAACAAATTTGCATTTTTCACAGTAAAAGCAACCAGAATTTTTTTTGATAAGCATTGAAATATCGGCGCTGACATAATCAACAGTGTAAAGTGGCATTTTCTCTTTTTATATAAATATATATATTTTTTTTTTGAGTCGCAAAATCCCAAAAATACTTTTGTTTTTCACTTGCTAAACAAGCTGACGCTGGAGTAGAGGTAATGTTCACGGCTAAAAGCAAAACTTCCTTTGGAAAATCTTGTAAAACACATCTGTAATGTATGTGGGTTAAAATAGAAAGTTAGAAGAAAAAAATATATACTAATTGAAAGGTACCATGCCCTACTTAGCGATGTTAAGCGAAATATAATGTCGCGTAGGAAGGAACAAAAAAATCGTAGCTTGTAAAGGATGGATGGAAAAATTCCAGTTCATCTTAAAGAAAAGATGAACTGAATTTTTCCATCCATCCTTTTTACAAGTCTACGATTTTTAAGAATCATTTTCATTTTCAATCATTTTTCATTTTTTTAAGAAGATTCGTATAACTCATACGAACCTTCTTAAAAAAATGACATCATCTATCGCGAATCGATGGAGAAAAAATAGACTATTCGGCTATAAACGCACATAATGTTCTGCGCTGCTCAATTTTTGACACCGACAATACGTATTTCACACCAGAAGAAGAGCAGTAGAAAGAAGAGGTGTCATCTTTCCCGGTTGCGAATTGCTCTTTGATTTTTTTCCATATTCTAATGCGATTCTTTCTGTCTTCTAGCTGATAGCGTCGGCAGATACTTTGGTCCAGTGTAGTAACTCTTCTCATGGAGATATTCTTTAGTATAGTTGCTTAACCATTTTCATCATAACTTAGAGAAAAAGCTTGAATTATTTTCAGTTAAATGTATTAAAATTAATAGTAATAAAACTTACACATATATATTTAAGAGTTCTTTTCAATCCTGTCAACATTTATGATGACAAGATTATAATATATAATATAATTTAATCTCAACTCTTCTGGTTTGCGAATATATAAAAATCATTTAAAAGTTACGATATTTGCTTTAATTAAATCTGTAAACTTTATTTATATATATTTTATCATTGATTACTCGATTTAATAAAAATGCATTCTATTCAAATCAGATAAATGTTTTAATTATATTTAAATGAAATCATTTGATTTCTAACAAAATTTTTAATCTAATTTTATTTTAGATTATCTACAATTGTATTTATATATTTTTAAAGTAGGGCTTCAAGCTCAGTTGTTCGTTATTTAGCAAATAGTATGAAATCAGGACGTGTTTTTTGAAGCAGTCTCCTACCCTATATTGGCAGCTTAATACCCAAATGTCAAGCGTTCCTGCCTTTTCTACCACAGGCTTCAGGTTCGAATACTGATGGTGGCATGTATGTATGTTAGTGCTTTGGAATCCACTTTAAACTGTAGGTTCCGTTATCTTTAGCGATCGTGTGAGCAAAATGACAGTGGAACGACAAACCAAACTAATAAATGTGGTGAAACTTTTATGCTAGGAACCAAATATTTATGAATTATGAAGTATCTATATGGTCTTGATGACTTAGTGACTAGAGCTCTGCCTATCGATGCCACAGGTTTCGAGTTCAAGTCCCAGTGGTGCCATGGACATTTGTAAGAGCTCGAATTCACCTTATTTTAATTTTTATTATTATAATCTGTTTAATTTATGCCTGTACCACAAAAAAAGTATTTTATGCGTAATGATTGTGTCTTTCAAGATAACTAAAATTAGATAGTTATGACATTTTTTTACGTGTTATAAAGTATTGGAACTTTAACTATTTTACTTTAATTTATTTGTAGGGGAAATCTAAATCTCCATTAATATTCAATATTGTATTTACGTGAAGTAAACTTTAGTCATTTTATTAATATGGTAAAAATTAAGAAATTACTATTTTGTTAAAAGTAACAAAAGGCAAAGTTTCGATGTATTCTTAGAATGAAATGAAATTTGTAACTTTTCAAGATTTAACGCCAAGTAATAAATGCAGCACTAATAACTTTTTATTGTTATTATATTGACAAATTATATAAAGTAAGCTAATTTACGATTGATGATATTAACCCTAATTATTAATAATTAGAGTTAATGATATTATGATGGAATAATAATGCCTTAAACTATATTAATATACATCATATTGTTTGGGTGAATTTAAGAACAATATGTATTATCTTAAAGGTTTAAATGTTAACACCTTTTCTTTGTTTTTAGTATGCTTTTTTATGTTTTATATTGCATTTAAGAAAAGGAACACTTTACTAACTAAAATTAAAAGATAATTCAAACCCATTTATTTAATAATAAATGGAACTATTGTAACAAGTTTAATTAAGTAATGAAATTAATTTAATGCAATTAAAAGTCCAAAATTCATAAATGATTAAAATCTGAATAAGTATCAAACAAGTACAAAACAAACATAAAGTATAAACTAAATAAGTATAAAAGAATATAAATCCCCGATTAGTGACTCAGTGATAACATGCGCATCTGGAGAGGTTGATTTTAATTAGTTGACTATGGCTCAATCCGAGGGCGGCATTGTGGTAGACACTGTTTCAAAAACAAAAAGGCTGGATGCCGTTTGTGATGTTCATCATCTTGTTGCGTTAGTCAGATTACCTGTTGGGATTTTTCCGGATTTTCTCCCATACGATTCACAAATGCTGGGTAGTTCCCCTTAAAAATATGCCAGGAAGGCACTGCCCCCTCCTTCTTCAGCGACTTAGATACAAGCCAAACTTCTACCTATGGTTTCTTCATCACAAAAAGTATCTTCTGCTTTTCCTCCATCCATGAGTAGACTACTCAAGAAGTGTCCGTGCCCCAGCCGTACACTGAGTTTAGTTAAAAAAAAACACAAATATAAATGTATTTATGTTGTAAAAATATAACATTATTTTAAAGAAATGTCTTATAAATACGTTTCTTGCCAACAAATTTCGAACAATTATTTTTGAATGTTTCTTTTCCCAATTTACTTACCAATGTGGAATTTAATATTTTAATTTTTTATTTTAATTTCGCAAATTATTCATAAAAAAAATTATTGATTGTTTCTTAGTGAGTAAAATATTTGAAACAATGTTTAAATATACGTAACGTTTTTACATGTCGGATTACATCTTTTAAATCATTAATAACTTCAAGGGTTTATTATAGAAAACACAATGAAATAAAATGTATCCAGTAACCTTCAAGCGATACATTCTATCCACTAAATAATTTTTTGTGTGTGTGGAAAGTACATGATAAAATATGAAGCAAAAATTATCATGTCAATGAAGATAAAAGAGTAAACTTTAGTTACATAAAAAATAAAAAGGGTAAAGCATATAAATATATACTTTATTATTTTCCAACATAATAGCCATAAATATATCAAGTATGAATTTTTTTTCTTATACAGAGTCTAAAAAATATTATATTTCTTGTAATAAATGGAAAAAAAAAAATTTTTATAAAAATAAATTTAAAATATTTCAGATTACGTTAGGTTATATGCATGAAGGAATCGAAAAGGTTTTTCAAAAATATATATAATAATAGTCGGAAACAAAATATCTATATTCTAGTATTCATAGCAAACCTAAGAATAGGAAAATATACATAAGGTTTCCTTTTTGTATTTCATGAATCTCGTTCTATTCAAAGATGAGTTTGTAGAAAAAAAAAAAAAAAAAAAGAGCATTTTTGTGCTGAAGTTTCTTTTTGAAAGGCAGGAGCAATTTTGCAGAGAGAAAAAAAAGTGTAGCAATGAAAGATTTATAGTTGTAACATTCTGGTGTTCTTCGATTGCAGAAATGAAATTTTCAATGGTCTTCAGCGTCTTGAGATTGACGCGTTTTGAAAGAAATCTATGATCTTTGAGATCTTAAACTATGCAACTTTCCTTCGTTTTTAACATGTACAGGAAAAAATGATTTTTTTAAAAAAGACAATTTATTCAGAATAACTTGAGCTGTAAGTGGTAATAAGACGAATAATTATTTTAAATTAATCTTTTAAAAATGTAAAAGTAAAATCAAAGTAATGCCTGTAGTTAGCCTTCTTATTTATTAGTAAATGGAACTATTTTAATCGACTTGTTTACTAATAAATGGAACTATTTTAACCCAATTTTATATAAATAATGCTATAAAAAGGCAGAAATTCAAAAATCATTAATATCTGAATAAGTTTAAAACAAATATAAGTATTTGTTGTTGTTGTTGTTGTTTCTTATCCCACTTGGCTGGCCAAGCCCACGAGCCCATACGTACTCATGATTGAAGGGGAAGGGAAGCAGCTTCTGTTGTGATGGAGCACCCGTAGGTAGAAGTCTGACTTTGGCTCCATGACGCTCTTACGGACATAGGAGACCGGTACCTACGGTTTAAAGTGTATTCCGAACCACTACAAACATCCAAGGCATCGCCGGGATTCGAACCCGAAACCTGTGGCACCGAGCGCCAGAGCGCTAGACACTCGGCCATTCAGGTCCCAAATGTGTGAATGCCAACGGCAAGCGGTGTTCCCAGGTGGTCACCCACCCAAGTACTGGCCGCGCCCAATGATGCTTGACTTCGGTGAGCTAACGAGAAAATATAAGTATAAACTAAATAAGTTATAAATCTAAATATATTTTGCTGGAAAACTAATATTATTTATAAAAAGGCCTTTATAATTACATTTTTGGAACGTTCTTTACACATTTTACTTACTAACTTGGATTTTAATATTTTAATTCATTTCTTTAGTCCTAAAATTTCATATTCATTCTTCCTACTTTAAGAAAATTATTTGAAACAATATTTAAATATACATGATGTTTTAAATGCAACATTAAATATTTTAGAGCATTAATAACTTTAAACGTTTATTATAGAAACACAATGCAATAAAATGTATCGAGTAACTTTTAAGCGATACATTCTATCCTTTAAATGATTTTTTTTGTGTGTATAGATCATAAAATATGAAGCAAAAAATAATCATTTCAATGAAGATAAAAAAAAATAGAAAATATTCTTTAAATAATTTTCCCTGGGTACAATAATTGAACAAAAATATAAAAATGGTAAAGCATATAAATATATACTTTATTATTTTCCAACGTATTAGTTAGAAATATATCAAGTATGAATTTTATTCTTATAAAGAGCATACAATATGAAAATATTATATTTCTCGTTATAAAGGAAAAAAAATGTTTTCATAAAAATAAATTTGAAATGTTTCACTTTACAGTAGGTTATACTAGTACGTATAAAGGAATCGAAGAGGCTTTTAAAAAATAAAATAATACTTGGAAGCAAAAGATCAATATTGTAGTATTCATTGCAACATAAGAATAGAAAAATATATATATAAGGTTTTCCTTTTGTATTTCATGAATCTCGTTCTATTCAAAAGATGAGACTGTAGAAAAAAAATGAAATAGCATTTTTGTGCTGAAGTTTCTTTTGAAAGGCAGGAGCAATTTCAGAGAAAAGTGTAGCAATGAAAGATTTATAGTTGTAATATTCTGGGTATTCTTCGATTGCAGAAATGAAATTTTCAATGGTCTTCAGCGTTCTGAGATTGACAAGTTTTGGTAGAAATTTTTATGTATATTTTTCTTTGTTAAAAACTGCAAATTAATGGCTTTAAAAGTTTTTTTTTTTAATATTTATTTATCATCTCTAAAATTTTTAAATCGGTTACAATTATGAAATATTAAATGTAATGTGAGCTAAAGAATTTTGTTTCTAATCTAAAAAAGCACAAAATTGTAGTTTAATTGTATTCTATTGCTAAATCTACTCGTAATATATTTCATTGGATTCAATGATAGAGACCAGAAAATATTTCAGCAGATTCATTGGAAGAAGCTAAAAGATATTTCAGCAGATTCCTTTGGTAGATGCTAAAAAGATATTTCCAGGAGATTCATTGATATAGGCGTACAGATATTTCAGCAGATTCATTGATATAGGCTTGCAGATAATTTAATATATAAATGGGTAGTAATTAATAGATATTTCAGCAGATTCATTTATAAAAATAAACAGATTTTCAAAGATTAAATAACAGAAACACTGGCATAGCAAAAAAAAATATTTTTAGTATATTCATTGAAATAGCTAGTAGAATTTGTAGTAGGTATATTGAAAAAGGCTTGCAGATGTTTAGTAAATTCATTGCTGAAGCAAGCAGTTTCATTAGTAGAGAGCCCCGTATGTGAAGATTGAAGATTGAAATTTTTCATAAATCGTTTGATTGATCGAAATCACAGATGTTGAAGAGCGAAATAAGATGATGAGGGAAATTTTTTATTTTTAAAAAGTTTTAATAAAAGTGTAAAAAAAAATTTATCTAGTAAGATAATAATTTTAAAATAAATAAATATTTTTACAGTTTTTCATCACATGCCGTAAAAAAATAAAATAAACAATTTAATAGCTATTTTAATAACTAATTTAATTTAATAATTTAATTTAATAGCTAATGAAAACTACATTTAAATTCAGTTATCATTAAAGTTTAGAAAACAACGAGCATTAAAAATATTTTTGAATTGACAACTCAGATTCTCCATTCAACAAATTTCTTTTGTCTACAAAAATATTTGATTCTTTAATAAAATATTTCAATACACCTCAACAGACTTCTATATCTTGAAAATAAGAATTAATGTTTTGCGTGAATTCTTTCATCTCGTGAATCCTGAATAAAAATAAATTGTTCAGTATTTTTAAGCGAATTAATTTTCTAAGTAAATTAAATTTGAGAAATCTTTTTCAGATAATATTTTACTTAAAAGGAACAAATACTACTATTTATTTTTCAGATGTTTTCTGAAATGTTGGTTCAGTTTAATAACTGAAACTGCAAAGAAATAACTAGTGTAAAATCAATCCAATTTTTTCAGCGAGTTTACATAGTCTTTTCTCAGCAATGATAAAAAAATCTTTTCATAGAGTAAATATGTGTTTCGATATTAAATCAAAGAGAACATTTTTTATTTCTGTTTATTTTAATGATCTTTTCGTTATAATTCCGAAAATATTTCGAATCGAATGTTTGCTTGAAAAATTGACATTCAAAATGAATTGATGAAATATCTTTACAGATATTAAATGAATTAAAGCATGAAACCAGTTTAAATATTTAAAGTATCGTCGTTTAGAGAGTTCCAATTACATATTATTTCTTAAAATGTATTTTTTAGAATTTGATTTTTGGCAGAAAAAATAAGAAGTACAACTCTTCCTTTATTTTGGATCCCAGCTTATAAATAATTGTATTTTTATGAAAACTAACTTTCCAAAATTGAAGCAAATATTCGCTCTTGAGTTCAGTAGTCTGAAATTCAAACTTAAATTTATTAAGAGATATATCAGCTTGTTCCAATAAAACATTTTTTAAGAATTTTATATTATGTTATGATTTATAATTCAGCTAAATAATTTTAGGCCTTTTTCCACCCTCTTCACTGCTCATAGGGTTGCTCATGGTATCTATATTTTTATGTATTTGTTTATTACATATATTTCAAATTATCTTATTATATCATTATTACATAAATTTCAAATTATCCTTATTATATCATTATTACATAAATTTCAAATTATCCTTATTATATCCTTATTACATAGATTTCAAGTTATCTATATTATATCCTTATTACAGGGCTGAATGTTCGAATGGCTAGCGCTCTGGCGCTCGGTATCACAGATTTCGGGTTCGAGTCTCGGCGGTGCCATGGATGTTTGTAGTGGTTCAGAATCCACTTTAAACTGTAGGTCCCTGTCTAATAGGATCGTAGAGCGTTGCGGGGGGCATTGTTACTCCGCGTCCGTGGCTTATTATATCATTATTACATAAATTTCAAATTATCCTTATTATATCATCATTACATAAATTTCGAATTATCATTATTACATAAATTTCAAATTATCCTTATTATATCATTATTACATAAATTTCAAATTATCCTTATTATATATCATTATTACATAAATTTCAAATTATCCTTATTATATCCTTATTGCAGGGGCCTCAATGGTCGAGTGGCTAGAGTTCTGGCGCACGGTACCACAGGTTTCAGGTTCGTGTCCCGGCGGTTGCATGGATGTTTGTAGTGTTCGGAATCCACTTTAAACTGTAGGTCCCGGTCTAATAGGGATCGTAGAGCGTTGTGGGGGCATCGTTACTCGCGTCCGTGGCTTATCTTCAAGTTACACCCACCCTGGGTAATGCAAAGTGAGTACGTCTGTGCAGCACTTGCCTTAAAGCATCCAAGACCAAGCTGTCTAAAGTGTTTGCCAGCTGCATTAGAAAGAAAAAAAATATCCTTATTACATATATTTCAAATTAGCCTTATTTTATCTTTATTACATTTATTTTAAGCCTGAAGCATCTTTATTACATTAATTTTATCTTTATTATTTTTATTTCAAATTATTCTTATATCCTTATTACATATATTTCAAATTATCCTTATTATATCCTTTTTATAATGCTTAAAAATTATTATTATAAACTATTACTGACTATATTTCTTTCTTAAATATATATATTTCTTCTTTTTCATTGGCGCAACAGCCACATAGTGGGACAAGGCCGTCTGTCTACTGGCAGATTTCAAGACAGGAGATGTTTCCTTTTTACAGCCTAGGGGGTTCTCTTGCCCTGCGCTAGACACACATATTAAACTAGGACCTTACGGTTTAAAGCGGATTTCAATCCAGTACAAACATCCACGTCATCACCGGGACTATCAGTAAATAATTTATCTTTGTGAAATTTTATGTGTACATATTCATTTCAGCTAATATACAAATTTATCAATATAAAAGTACCCTAATTTTCCTTAATTTGTATACATATTATTACATTGTGACATAACATATTACATATTGCTTACATGTGGAATTAATTATATGTTTTCAACTAACATTTATTCTATCACAAATTGCTTTTATTGGAGGAGAAAACATTTTTAAATGCTGTCCAAATAAAAACTGAAAATTATTCTTATAAAAATTCTCGATAAGTTTAATATTTGTTAGTGTTTGTCATCATTTTTTTTTTTTTTTGTGAAAACTATAACACGTGAGCTTTAATATAAAATATATGACAATCTCCATTTTTATTTAGCATATGAAAACGAGACATATATATATATATATATATATATAATATTTTTACATATTCATTTCAGCGAAGAGAAAGAAGAATTTCCAGAATTTGTACACGTCAGAACATGTCATATATAGATTACTTGTGAAGTACTCAAAAGTACTCAATTATTAACTATAATTTATTCCACCAAAAGTGTCTTTATTGATTGCAAAACAATTTTAAAATGCTGGCAGAATCATATGTGAAAATTATTATTCTTAAAAAGCTTCTCAATATATTTATTATTCTTTAGTGCTTGTCATGATATTTTTTCTTTCACTGAAAAGTATAACACGTACTCTTTAATATAAAATACTATATATATGACCATCTCCATTTCTATATGGCACATGAAAATGGATCATGGAAGCCAAGAACAAAATCCAAGCAATGGAAAGCAGGACTAATTCCATTTTCATAGGATACTATATTTAT